ATGAAACATAGTAGCACAAAAACCTGACCATAATTTGAACCTTGCCAATATGATTGACGCACCGACCGAAATCCGTTTCTTTCACTGCCAATTTACATAAATACAAACCTCAGCCAAACATCCGACAATCCCAACCGGACAAAAACAAAGATTCGATATCCAACTACGTCAAAACATATCACCAACCCACCTGAACACATACCAATAAACATAGCATACCATATGATTTCGAACAATCAATACTTCAAAGTCATATACAAACCATATTATACATGTCACAAAATCGATCTTATCAAAAACACACTATACATATGATACATAACGACTCATATGAAACACGACCACAAATGAAAGGCAATTTTCTACATTCACGTCACGCATGTCCATCCTACGGATACAAAAAAAACCGGAACACTGATCAAAACCCTTCCATATACTCAAAACGTACCCACTAAAATAACACACACACATATATAGGAGTCAATTCCTTGAAAAAACTAATTCCACGAAACTTTCACCTCACATAAGATATCAAAATCCATGCACAAATGCCAATAGGTAACCTCAAAAAACAAACACTTCAACAACCCGCTTCTATGTCTTTCGAAAGAGAACATAATAATTTCTTTTCATCTCAAAATTGTATTCAATTTTGGATCTACTATACTACTATCTTATCCCACTTGATAAGATTTAGTTTCTCAGCAACATCGAAATACTATAGTATTGTGGTAGCCACAAACAACCGTTAAATGGTGATTCTACTTGTTCTACGAGTATAAAATGGTATTATGTATTGCTTCAAAAATTTTATTAAATTTTCGATCTACTATATTAGAAGATGATACTTTATATTGGTTCAAAAAGTTTTCTTGAAAATTTTCGATCTCTTATATGGGTATCCTGACTTGCCACTTGATAAGATTATTTCAGCATAATCGAAAATACCGGATATTTGTGGTAGCTATTACATACCCACACCCTGTCTCTTAATAATAACATACGCTCCCACAAATACAACATAAGCGAACTAGCAGGTATTGTGGCAACTTTTACATACCCACTGCACCCTTCGAATGATGATCTAATATAATAAATGAACATTTCCTTCAAATCAGGTTATCATCCTTAGGTTTTATTTTATTGTATCTAATATTTGTTCTTTTTTGTTTACTATGATATAATATGAAAGCATAACCATTTATAATAGTTTTTATTTTAATTCTCTTCACAATTTTAGATATATTACTATCGATCGAAAGTATTCTTGAATGCTAAACTAATGACTGATCCACATCGAAACGTAAGTTTAATTCACAAAAACTAACAATATTGACTAAATATTAACAATGATCTATTGTAGATTGAAAGAGATATTGATCGATTCAATGATATTTTCCATCAATATGGCGATGATATGGATGAAGAACAAGATCCAAATGTTGATTTTGATAATCTTTATATGAATATTGGTAAAGACAATGATAATGATGATAACTATACAGATGTATTTGAAATTCAACAATTAAATGATGACAAGAACATTTTAGTTGATCTGACTGCTGAAGTAGTGGAGGAAGAACATTTATCTCAAAAATTAAGTCAATTATCAGCTATTGATAAAGAGCAAGAGGATAGTGATAAATTCAAACCATCAACCATCAAGAAACGATCAGCTTTAACACCAACTACCACAACAGTCAACATAACGAAAAAAATGAAATCAAATGAAGAAGAACAATCGAACAGAATGATGCCAAGATATTTATCAAGTAATAATAAAGTTTTTGAACAAATGATCAGTCCTGTACTTCAAAAGACAAGACTTTCTATCAGTATTGAATATTTACGAGAAATTGCTCTTCTTATTCATCAACTTGAATGTATCGATCTAGACAGATTACTTTGGACTACATATTTATGTTCTGGTACAGGTACATTAAAGCCACAAGAAACTACTACACTCTCATTGTGGCCTGCAGAAGTCAAAACAAAAATGATTACTCGTGGTCGAACAACTGTATCTGATCCAAATGAAATAGATCATGATTCTTGCTTGGATTATGTTCAGAGAGTTCTACAAAAATTTCGAAATCAAACAGAACATTATCAAGCTCAACTGAAAGAAAGAAAACAAGATTTAAACAAATATTGGACATGTGAAATCGAAGAAGCTATCACAAAATTTGTTCAACAACATATCGCAGCTGTAGATAAAGTAACAACAAAAGGACTAATTGCTACTGTCGAATATGATTATAATGATCGATTGATTCAATTAGAATATGATCAACAAAATCCTAATGAATATCAAAAACAAATATTCGAAAATCTTACTCAAGCTAAATATGAAAATGAAACAAGTAAATTTGATGTTGCTATATTGAAACACCGTATTGTTTATAACCATTTACCACAATCATTTGAATCACTTCACATACCTACACCCATCTCATTAGATACAATTAATGATAGAAATATTCGTCAACGTTTAATGGATCGATGTGAGAAAATATTACAACAAACAAAATCTGATATGATGATAGTTTATATCACAACAGCCGAAGCAAAAATGGATCAATATCAAAAGAAATTCGATACTGAAATGGCTAAAATGAAAGAAAATCAATGTACTGGTCCACCTGATAAAAAATTAACTCTAACTATGTTGAATATTATGGAACGACGTTTCAAAAATATAAATGAACGTCTTATGTGTCTTTACAAATTAAAATTACGTTTTTTCGTCAAAGCTCCGACGGTCAAGAATTAGATTGGATCGATCGTCGGAGCATTCTTATCCAAAAATCAAACATCACTTGTTCACCAACAATGATTCAAGATACACCGCATCGTTTATCACGGGAACAAGTAAAATTTCTCAATCGTGGACCAACCTATGTTTCACCATGTCACATACATATTTTATCAAAATCCTCTATAACGCTGGCTCAAATTGTTACGAAACAAATGGCACCACTTCAACGAGAACTCACCAAACTATTCACTAAATATTCAGTTGATCTCTCTCGACAAATGAATTTTGAAAAAGACATTCAACAATCATTCAATGATTCATTCCTACGATCGATGCCTGATGTACTTGAAGAGCGTGCACTCTATGAAAAACAGCTGATTCAATCAATTCAATATCATTTGAAAAAAGATCAACTTATTCTACGACGAACAGCCGATGAAATGAATACATATTATCTGGGTCGATTCGATGAATTTAATCAAAAATCGGATGAATATGTTGAAAATTCAACTTGTTATGAACTAATTGGAACAATAGATGGAACTCATACAGAACAACAACAACAGTTACATGAAATTATCATATCTATCAATTCTCAACTAGAAAAATTATATCAAAGAAAATTAATTAATAAAGATCATTTAACTAAATTTAGTATCGATAAGAGATTAAATTTGAAACTGCCATATCTTTATTTCTTACCAGAAACAAATGAAGATGTCCATATGTCAGTTCAGCCAAGATTTTCATCTTATCAACATTCTCCAATACAACGATTAGCACAATATCTTGATCAACTTCTTCGACCATTATTTTATCATTTTTCTCGATCAACTACATTTTTGAATAGTGGTGATTTTATGCAAAAACTTCAACACTATTATACACACACCACTAATCTTTTTCTACCAGAAACACATGTTGCAACATTTAAAATTCATGATTTATATGCGAAAATATCACATACAGCACTTCTTGATGCATTACATATATTCTTAGTGAATCCACTTATTACTGGTCGATATCAAAGATTACCAGATGATGCTATTGTAGAATTAACAACTCTAGTTCTAAAAAATAATACTTTCACATATAATGGAAAAGCTTATCGATTTATTAAAGGATCTCCATTAAATTTACCATTAACAGAATTATTGGCTAGTATCTATTTACATCATTGGCAAGTACCTTTAGTTAGAAATGTTCGTGTGAGAGATGTATTCTATGGTCGATATAATGATATGGGTTTTCTAAC